ATTCAACGAAGCTTGAATGGTCCTAGACTTCTATGTAAATACTACTTCCTCCGTTCTGTTAATATTGCAATAAAGAGGAAATTACGCATCCCGAAACACCTTTTATATGCTAAATATATATAATTGTGTAAGAGTAAAAATTATAAAAAGTTGATATTGTGAAAGTATTTTATGAGACGAATCCAACAAGATCCCACTTGACTATATTTTGCTTAACGTATAACTCATATTATATGGTCAAACAAGAGTGATGAATAGTGCAAAAAGTCCAATATTGCAATACTAATAGAACGGAGGAAGTACGACTTTTCATTTTTTTTCGAAATTGTAAAATGCAAAATTTATCACAGGAATTGTAGAAATGACTACAACTTAACTTAAATAGTGATGGGTGAAAGATTAGTTGCGTTGTAATAGTACAAGTAGAGCTGTCAAAAGCTGACCCGACCCGAAATACCGACCCTAACCCAACCCTAACCCTAACCTGTCTGAACCCGAAAAAAATGGTGACCCGAACCCAACCTAACACGAGCTGAAACCAACCCTAGACCCGAGTTGACCCGAGTATTTGAGACCCGAACCCGACCATAACCCGACCTAGAGAGGACCCGACCCGAATGTGACCCATAAATTATTGACCTGAACCGAACCCGACTCGAACCCGAGAATGACCCAAACCCGATTTAACCCGTCAAAACCAGAATTCAACCCGACCTGTTACTAACCCGACCCGAGGTCAACCCGACCCGTTCCTAACCCGACTCGAATTTAAACCCGACCTGTTACAAACCCGACCCGAAATCAACCCGACTTGTTATTGATCCGACCCAAATTCAACCCGACTTGTTATTGCCCCGACCCGAAATTAAACTCGACCTATTACTAACCTGAATTTAAACGTATTTGAGGCTATATGAGGTGAGTGAGGTGAATCGATGATAGTGATTTTGTCTAATTAAATCAGCCAAATGTTTTTTTTTTTTTTTCTAAATTTATCTTCAAAATAAACTTCCATATAACTATTTATAATCCTTTTATTGATCAGTTTTTTCAAATTTTAGTATTCACTTGTTTATTATAATATTTTTAAAAATGTTTTAAATTATGCAATTTGATTTGGAGCTTTAAAAAAAAAAATTATTGACTTGAACCGAACCCGACTCGAACCCGAGAATGACCCGAATAGGAAATGACCCGACGTGATTATAACCCGCAAATTATTGACTTGAACCGAATCCGATAATGACCCGACCTGATTATAACCCGCAAATAATTGACTTGAACCGAACCCGACTCGAACCCAAACAGGACCCTAACTCGTTTAAACCCGTAAAAACCCGAATGTAACCCGACCTGTTTTTCACCTGACCCGAATGTAACCCGACCTTTTATTGACCCGACCTAAACCCGACCCAAACCCGATAAGATGTATGACCCGACGTGACCCGACGCAAGCATGACCCAACCCGAACCCGACCCACATAGGTCCCGACATTAACCCGTACTGACCCAACCCGAGATGACCCGACCCACACTAACCCGACTCAAACCCGACCCATTTACCCGAATTGACAGCTCTAAGTACAAGTAGCTTTATTATATCCTTTTTATAGAAACAGAGAACTTATAGCGAAAATCCAAGTACGGAGTAAATCACACTAAACCAAACTTTATAAAAATAAAATAAATTAATTGAGGTAAGGAGAAAGACAACCTTAATACTACGTCATAAACAATGATTAGTTTATCACAACTAAAAAGAAATAAAGTTAACCAAAAAAAAAAAAAAAAAGCGTACTGTATTAAACAAAAATAAAGCAATTGACTATACTTCTTTATGGTCGCTGGTTAAGTTTTATAAATTAAGCAAAGTATATTAGTAGGGCCAACATTTGATTGTAAATGCCTGAATGACGAATATAGCCATCTTGACTAGAAATTTCTAAGGGTCAAAATAATAAAGAAACATATACCCATATAATCATATATCATACACTAATTACGGGCTAGAATAGTAAATTATAACAAAGCTATCAAGTAATACTTGGTCTAATTGTAAAAATTAGGACTCCGATACATATTTATATCTCAAAAGTCACAACCCTGTATAAAGTGTCAGTTCAATAAGACGCTTTCTCCTTATCTATCAAAATAAATACATAATCGAGATGGTGGGGTCGCAGAGGTGGTGGTGATGACAATGAAGTTACGTAATGGTAGTTAGGAGAGAGGAAGCATCATGGATTGCATCATGGTCCATAACGTAATGTTGGCCACTTGTTTGAAGATTTAATCTGATGTCATGTAGATGATGCCCAGTTGCCGACATCCTTATGTTATGCCACAAATAATATGTGGCGTCTTCTTTCCTTTTAATTACGTTAATTTTTTTTTAATTACGTTAATTACTTACTACTCCCCCACTATAATTATTTTATAGAAGAAAAGTATTATTTTTTTATTAGGGAGAAAAAGTATTATTCCTAGGAGAAAAGTATTACTCCTACAAAATTGGCTAGTTTTTTTACATTTACTTTTGACTAATTGATTGGCAAGTAACCCTACTATCACTAATTTCGTGGTGTTTCATAATCATAATCAATACAACGCTCTAATTATCATACTCCCTCCGTGTTTTGACTGATACATAGTTTTAGGTAATTTAATTGACTAAAATAGAATAAGAGGTAAGTGAGATAGTTGGAGTCTTAAAAAAATATAAAAGAAAGATAATGGAGTTAATAGTTTATTGAAAAGTAACGAATGTGAGAGGAAAAATATAATAAAAAATAAAAGTACCGTAGTAGTAAGTTTAAGTGAGGACCACGAGAATATAGAGATTTTGCCAAAAAAAAAAATGTAACCCTTAGTAAAACACAGCTGGATTTAGTAAGTGTAACACTTAGGATCTGTTCACATTTACTTAATTTCAGTTCAGCTCCAATCAATTCAGTTCAGCTCTTAATTTCCCTCTCTTAATAAAATATTCATTTCAACTAAGTTCAGTTCATTTTAACTCCAATCAGTTCAGTTCAGTAGACCCTTATTAAAATACAGAGGGAGTATAATAAACACCAAATAGAATTAAAGAGAGAGAGTGTGTATAGAATTAAAATAGAGTGAAGGTAAGGAAGATAAGGTTGTAAAACGAATTTGTCAAAGGAATGAAATAGAGTAAAATTATCTTTAGAATAAAAACCGAGTTAAAATTTTGGAACTTGTTTGCAATTTTCAATACTCCATAGAACCATTGGAGCTAAAAAAAATACAATTAAGAGTCTAAGATACATGACACATTGTCACACATGCCAACGTGTATAATATGAAAGAACTCTAAGAACCCATATTGCTACAATTAAGCATTACTACGTATGTTTTTTTAGTTGACACGTTTTAATTTTAGCATTATTCATACACTTTTCTTTGACCATGTTTCGTGAATTATACGTAATGAAAAATATAGCCATGTGGGGTCTTTATTAGATTCGTCACGGTATATAATTTTCAAAATATCAATTTTTTATAATTTTTGTTTATCGGTAATTAAAGATATTAGGGGGCGTTTGGTTCGCGGATTATAGGTATGAGATATGGGTTTAGAATGACCAAAACCCATACCATATGTTTAGTTGTCAAAAATATGAATTTTAAACCCATGCCTTAAACCCATGAGGTATGGGGTTTAGAAACCTTGGGGGGGAGGTGGGTTTGACTCATTCCATTCCATTAAGTTCAAATACATGAAATTAAGGGGATGATATTTCATTTAAGAATTAAACCAAACACTTGGTATTAAGTATCAAGTTCCAACCCGATACCACCTTAACCCTATTATTTTAAACCTATAGTACTCTGCGAACCAAACACCCCCTTAATGATTGAATTTATGCATTGACAAACGTGACTAAAAAAACGGAGAATGTATGAAAAATTGAAAAGACTAGATATTTTCCTAATCATATACGAGTACGGAATATTAAGGAACATAATCGAGATTTTTTTTTAAAAAAAAAACAATCTTTGACGTTGGAAAGAGAAAGTCTATGAGCATTAATTTCACCGTATTAAAAATATTTAATTAAAAAAATACTCAGAAATCTTAGGTTAATCAAATTGTGAGTAGTTTAATTTCCGGTACCTTAATCTAGAACAAGTCTATCCAATTGTTATTTTAATTTTTTGTAGCTTAATCTTAAATTCATAACAAAAATCAACTTGAAATTTTTAATTCATTTCCAAACACCCATGTATACGGGGTTCTTCTCTGCACATTTTGACTAAAGACTTAGCTCCTTCAGAAATCAGAATCATTAGTACAAATATATAATCCTTAATTAAAGAAAATAATTAAAAAAAAACCTCATATTCTTGTGAATTAATTAACACAAAAAACATGTTAAAAAATTAATAAAGATAAGGACAAATTCAACTCAAAAACAGCTACTCCAATATTTGGGATTCCCCAATCAAAATCTGAATCACCCACCCATGTTTTTAATTCACATACAACTATACAAGTATATATGGGAAATTATTAAACAAACCACAAAAAATTTAAATAATAAATAAAAATATTGGTCAGAGTAGATGGGAAATTAATTTTATTCTGACTTTCCACGTTTCTGCATTCACATGTTTTTCATGATTTAATAATATTAAATGGATTTTCATTCAAAAAATATATAAAAAATTAATCAAACGAAGCCTCAACTGTCAGCAATTTAATTCATTTCAATAAAAAAATAGTACTGTACTGTACTCGTATTGTGAATTTTTCAACAATGTTTTTTTTTTTTTTTTTTTAAAAAAAAAAAAAAAAAAGCAAAAGAAGAGGCATTGCTGGAAAGATATTAAAGTGTGATTTAAAAAATTTTGACACGGTGATTTAAAAAGAAGAGGCTAAAAATGGTACTTTGGAATTAGATTCTATGAGTCTAAAAATTGCAAAATGAGCTCCTTTCAAGAACCATATAATGCGACGGAAAAGTGTGAGATAGACATAAAAAGAACGTGGAAGATTTTTCCAATACAATATTTATTGTTCTCGAGTGGAATTTCTAAAGAATATCTTCACCTATAAGATATTTGTACTCCGAATGTTCTTTAACACGTTAGAAATTGTGCGTCACATATTATTGCAGCTTCTGAGGATGAGGTGATGGCATAGTGGCATCGCTCTCACCTCATGGGACTCATTTGAGGGATTTCCCTCATCTCCCCCCTCAAATGAGCCCCCTTATCATGACACAGTAAACTACAGTTTAATCTAATCTTCCATTAAGAAAAAATTCTAATGAAAAAAGATGGTTTACATAATTTTAGATCATCAGGGTTGGGTCAATGTCATCGATAAAGACCATATGCAGTATCAACGAGTTGTCGATATTGCTCTATGTTAGGCAGTACTATCACTGGTTACCATTCTTACCAACCCATCAACAATGTCATCACAATTTTATAAAACTACAACAGCGACACAGACTTAAAAAACATGTACTCGATGCTGATAATATGAAAGAACTGGTTAAAAAGGACAGTTAGGGAGCAAGAAGAAAGCGTACTTAGTCTTCCACCCATCGAACTCCATGTTTTGCCCAGAGATAGTATGCTCCCTCTGGACCTCTTCCCCCTATGTCATACATTTCCGGACTTATGTTTTTCTCGCCAATCTCTTGGAGGACAGGATTAAGAATATTCCATGCAGCAGCGAGCTCATCACTTCTCATAAATAGATGGTTGTCTCCTTCTATGACATCGAGAATAAGGTGTTCATATGAATCAGGCACCTCAGCACTGTACCTAAAGATGACGCAATCAAGAAAGAGTGAGCATATTCTAGCAGAAACAATTCAAATACATGATGCTAGGACTCTCCTGGGGGTGTCACATTAGTTAACCAAAAACAGGAAGATCAACACTTTCCTACACCCATGTACTAAATAGTAAATATACTCCATACCTAATAAAAGTACATAATATTGCCAATTTTATCGATTTCCACTTTTCTTAATTCCCAAAAACATTTAACCAATACGATTAAGGATTCGCATGTGGTTTGTTGGTAAGATTGTGTTTAAAGTTGTTATCCTTCATTTTCCCATCATACAATTCCTAGATGTACCCCTTATCAGCTTATCCTATGTTGATATGATGATATCTGAACTTATACAATATTGAACTAAGGTAAGTTGGGCATAAATTAACATATTTTTGTACTCTGTGAAAATCTTATGCCCAGTGATTTCTCTTTTAACTAATATGATAGTCTGGTCTTATTTTTCAAGTACATCTTCAACTAGGCCGGACATGCAAGGTGCACCGCCTGAGTTACAAGAGATATTGCTTGACTTAGATCAATAACTAAACCAGACGATTAATTGAAATTTGAATCCAAGACTAAGCATCATACATCCAGTTCATGCATAAGATTAACATGAGAGTTAAAAATAAAAAAAAAAAAATAAAAGAAAAGAAAAGAAAAAAAGAAAGCTTACTTGTCTTTGTAAAGCAAGTTCAGTTCTGAAGCATCCAGATGCAAACTTAAGCCAGGAACCTTGTTATTGACTCTGATCAGAATGGCTTCATCAGGAACATCTTGCAATATCAATTCATTAGTGGCAAGGTCAATATTATGCCCCATAAGTCCTCTGTAAATGTTTCCTGGAACATGATCAAACTGTATACGTATTTCCATCCTACAAATACAAGTTCCTTAAGGTCAGAAATCAAATATCAAGCCACTTGGGAGATCTAACAAGTGTTCCACAATCCATGCATCAACAGTATCACCATACGCGATTAGTTTTTTCTAGTACAGTTGAACTTGGCTTATGCATCGGATTCTCCATATAAAATTGATCAATCAAACCTTCCTTTCCTTTTCAAAATTTCAACAAAATTGCATTAAGATCCTTATTCCATGCTATATATCTACTAGTATCAATCCCTATACCCAGGTCTAGTTGGGAAGGCTTTGACACAGTGACACTAATCAATCCTAAACAAAAAAAAAGTTCATATCAACCCAAAGATAATTTTGTGAGGATGTCATTCAAAGTAGTAGGCCTAACGTTGACTGTCCATATTCCATAAGCTACAAGAAATGCGTTCATATGATAATTACAGGTGAAGGCACAGCTTTATGTACAATCATCCAATAGTGATTTCTTGAGAATTCTTAATAATTGTGTAAATTTCAAAGTGGTAGACCTGTCTTTGTCTGTCTCTATAAGCAAACAAGAAGCATGAGTTCAACAACAATTGGAAGTAAAGGCACAACTTCATCTACTGCAGATTGATAGATTCTCCATCTCTGAGTGCTTTGATAATTTTCCCATCATTCTTTATACACAACATTCAAATTCCTTGTTCTATCACAAAGGAGGGTCAAGGATAGGACAGCAATTCAAAATATTTTAGAAATTTACTGATCAAAATTCTTTTTTTTTTTCTTTTTTGACGGGGATCAAAATTCATTTTCCATAGAACATTTAGTGCAATAAAGATAAGTTCATTGGGGCATTTGCAAATTACTAGAAGACATTCACTCAAATGTTTCTCAGCAATGCTTCGGTAGTCACATACCTGTGTGAGACAAGTCCAGTCCCAGCTCTGATCAGAAATGGTACACCATCCCATCGTGCATTATTGATGTACAAAGCTGCTGCAAAGAATGATGGGGTCATTGATGTCACAGAGACATCAATTTTGTCTTTGGACATAGCCTTGTATTGTCCAAGGATGACATCTTTAGGTTCCAGTTTACCAATTGACCTCAGAACCTTGACCTGCAATTATGCTTGTCTGTAAGTAATATGCTTGCTTGTTATGACACTAAGGTCTACATAAGACTTTAAGGGTAGCACACCTTCTCATTTCGGATATCCTCACCATCAAGACTTATAGGAGTTTCCATGGCAAGAAGTGCTACCATTTGGAGTATATGACTATGCACCATCTCTCGGATAACTCCATAATCGCCAGAATACCTGCACAGGAAGGAAATTTCAAAAGTTATGATTAGGACTATTGGGGAAGACAAATAATGAATTCAAAATTGAAAATTTGAAAAATGGATCTATATTGCCTTGATTGACTCTCTAAAATCAGTTCCTCGGATAGAATAATCTGCACATAATTGCATTAGAAGTCAATTTGTGTATTTCCATATTATGAAATAAGCCCACGTAAAGAAAGGAAGATATATACCTGCACATTACGTATAAATTTACGACTCCATAATGGCTCAAAAATTAGATTAGAGAATCTTAAAACAGTAAGGTTTTCTATAAGATTTCTTCCCAGAAGATGGTCCATCCTGCAAAAATTCATTTTGTCAGGCATATAGAACTACTATAAGACAATCACATACAGCAAGAATACAGGATATTAATAAACACCTGTATATTTGCTTCTCCTCAAATTTCAAAAGAAGAGAGTTTGTCAACATATTAGAAGACCAAGCATCTAAGCCGAAGGGCTTTTCAATTATTATACGGTTCCATCCTATTTTTGTTTGTGATTTATCAGCAATACAGGATGCAACATTTAACACAGCTTCTTGTGGCACTGACAGGTAAAAGATCCGATTTGCTCCATGGTCTCCCTGAGAATACAGGTTGCATATTTTAACTTCAGATAATTCCATATAGACCACCAATATTTGTAAAAGAAACTTCATTCATCTCATATTTATCCGTTTATCACAATTTTGAAACAAGAGTGTAAACCAAAATCTACCTCAACTTGCTCCATCCTTGCATTGAGCTTCAAGATTCCTTCTTGGTTGTCATAATCTCCGCCAATATAGTATGTCTTGCTAAGAAAAGAGTCTATTTTGCTCCCACAGTTCTGCCTGCATAACAAATGAATGAGGAACATGACGATGCATGCATCTACATGGAACAAATTGACACTCAGAAAAGATATGAGAAAAAGACAGTTGGAATAATTCACCATGCTCCAAACCCCAAATCACCCTCCCCTCCCAAACAAACTAAATAAAATATTAACATATGTAAAAACATAATAGAAAGAAGAAGAGTAAGGTAAGGGACTTCAAAGCAACAGGACATAACATGAAGAATTATTTTTTCACAAAAGCTAACCACTGATGTTCTTGAGCGAGCAAACTAAGACATAAAAGTCCTGCAAATTACATAATGACTTAGATACAGTGTTTTTTTTTTTCTCTTTTTCCAGCCCACAGTATCCAAATATTCATTAGCTGAGCGCTTCACAAGAGAGTAGAAAACTTAATAAGCTAAGTCTACAACACACCCAGGAAAAGTTGCTATTAGACAGACAATGATGCCGTAGTAACTTTGTGAAATAACTCTCATTTTTCATTCACCTCTGTAGGCTCGGGAATGTTATTTCCTTGATAATTGCCTTGATCATCCAAGGACAACAGCAGAATTAATGGTTTCAATATCTTATGATCAGGCCACATCCATAGTATTTGTGATATCAGTAAGAGAATGTTTCCTTCAACTTTTTTGTACTGCATTAGCATAAGCCTTTCTTATTAAGCTGATGTACCCCAAATGCGAGTGTAGCCTGATGGTCAGCAATTCAGTTAAAAAATGCCTTAGGTGTGAAGTTGGTAGAAATTCAACGAATGGATGGAAATGAGTGTAGAGAAATAACCACTCAGAAATTTTGAGATAATTTTCTCTTTCTTCTTGTAATTCCAGCCACTCTGAGGTCTGGGTTATATGTTGTATTGCTCCATTGGTGATTTCATTGCTCCCATATTACAACAACCATCAGTTTCACAAAATTTTCTTCTTAATTTTTTAATTAAATTCATAAAAAAAAAAAAAAAAAAAAAAAAAAAAAAAAAAAAAACATTAGCAACCCTGTTTAATAACATTATTCTGCCACTTGGTCAAGGAAGTTAGGCAATTTTGTTCTTGTTGCTGTGAAACCTGATCAGAAGGATGCACTATGAATATACCCTCTCTAGGTCTTGCCTTGTCAAACTAATTTTAACTGTTACACCTCAAACTCTTAAATGAAGGCCCATTTCAGAGCCTTTGACCTACTCCACAAGGCCAGGCTACATGGAAACTGAAAGCCCCTCACAGCCTACACTCCTTTTTATATTGTTTATGCTGAACTGATACAGTTAAAAACTTAAAAAATCTGGCCCTAACATGCTATATTCCCTGAATATATACTACCTTGAAAGGTCAATAAAAAATTAAAATTAAAATTAAAAAATACTCAGGCTTAAAGAACCCCACCCCACAATTTGACCACAAATTCCTGTTATCTCCTTGTCTTTTATTATCTCTGAATATGCTCAACCTAAGCTTTGAGGTTCAAAAAAATCATACAGTTACACAATATCAATAGCACCTCAAGTCTCACACCAATGTGGGTATCATGTTGTGTTGACAAGAAGGTCAATTTCTGGCTAGAACCATAAGCTGCTTTGAAATAGTACAGGATACACCCCCCCCCCACCCAAAATATATGTCAATCTAAGCTACTTCAACTATTCGTACCTGTGGCGGACACTTGACACTGCAACCCCCATTATATGTCAATCTAAGCTACTTCAACTCTTCGTACCTGTGGCGGACACTCGACAGTGCAACAAGGGTATGGAATCCTTACCCGACACTTCAGTTATCTTGAACCACATAATTGTAAGAGAAATTGTGTATATAGGGGAAAGGAAAAGAGGAGTATGTCAGATATCTGCTCACAAAAAACTTGAGATTTGCTTTCAACAAGTCTTAACAATCATGATATGTTCCTGCACCTGACATTCATACCCATGTCTGAGTAACATAAAGTCACAGACTCACAGTACATGAGTTGGGAATGAACCACTGTATCACATGAACAAAAATGGAAACCCTTGTATGCTTCCAGCCCACCTATATCTGATCATCCTTATCAAACTCAAGATTAGCTACAACATTCATCTTGTTTACTTCCATTCTTAAGCTAATTATGTTTAATTGTTTATGAGGCTCAATGAAACCTCAACATCTCATGCATCAGGATGAGCGGAGAACTACTTTCACTTGCTCTATCCAGGCCTAGGATCTTACCCCTCATCAATGCTGGAGGCATCAGTAGCTCTTCTTCCAGTGCAAATCCATATCTTTCAGTTACTATGGAGCACTTTATAAAGCAAAAGCAATGTTTTGCTAATTGGAAACAAACATTTTACTAGACCATAAGCCAAACTAATCAAGGTAAAAGGCCATACTGATGATCAACACGACATGTCAAAGTTGATGCTACTATGGATCTCAGGTCTTCATCTGTCAGTTTTTCTCTGGAATACCCGAATATTCGAACATTCTGCAATCAATAAAATCATAACTTGAGATGGCAACATCATATTTGGTCAGACAGAGTACACAGGAGTTCCAAAGCTATCATGGTAAAATAATACATACACGAGGCCAAACCAGTGAGTTCTATTTTTACCAAAAAAAGAAAAAAAAAAGTCATGAACAGCTTCTCAAATTATTATCCCTCTTGTCCCCATTCCCCTATTTTCATCCTTGTTCCACCTCTCAACTTCGTACTCATGCTAAGTTGCATTAGTTGTTATAATTGCTACTTGCTGAAAATCCTGGGCACTCTATCGTCTTAAATGTGATCAAAATTTACTTTGACAAAAGAAACAAAGCACTCATCCACTAATATCTGCATATCCAGCTTCTATTTGCTGATGCAATAGGGTAATGATCAACCAATGAGGTAAATCACTACCAAGGTCATAAATAGATTTCAGGTTCTGATGACGGATTTGACACAGCAATAAAATATGATAAAGATATGGATAACAGCAACCAAGTAAGCCAAAATGAACATAGAAGGGGTCCCACCTCAGGAAGGAAGTCGCTGTAATATAGAGCAAATAATGCTGGAAATATTTTCTTCCTGGAAGGGTCACCTGTTGCTCCTATAACTGCAATACTAAGAGACAGCGCCTCAGCCTCCTTAAGAGAGAAACCAACGGAACTTGTTTGCATAACATATGAAGATCCACATAATAAAGACACTTTTGGAGACGAGTTGCGATTTGAGCTTCCCTCGGGAATTGAAACATTTCTTGTTTCACCAAGTGAGTCTGCAAGTTACATTTACAAATTGTCAATTCCTTAAATGTCAAAATAAAATGAAGAGACAATTCCCAAAGTACAAGAGAGAAGGGAGAGCCCTAATTTGAAACCTCTTAAATTTCATAAGAACTTTATTGTTTTTATCTCCTCTCTTAATCTAGTAACTTGTTGTATGAAAGCTGATAAAATATGCTAGGCAAGATAGTAGACTCTCAGCAGGTCTTTACCACCTGTTTCATCTCGAACCTGATTCTCGTATGAAGAAACTATCCTTGAAGAATCAGCCAAAAAATTGCGGTCAAGAACTCTTGATGTTTTATGTTTGATTTCTTGTCCATATTTTCTGTTGCACAATTTTATGTTCAGATTTTTTAGAATCCAAAGTTTCAAGCCACGGAACTTGTGACAATAATTGCTAGCATGCCCACATAAAACAAGATTAGCTGTTGGGGAAGCCTGGTAATCTCCTGTCACCTGTAAATTATACCAAACAGAACATAGTCATATATAATTAAATGTAAGTACATTAAGCCTTCTATTTGCTATATAGATGGTCCTCTTGTGTTGGGCAAAAAACAATATAACATCTAGACAGGAACATTTGCACTCTAAAAATGAGCAAAAGTTTCACCAAAATCAATTGAACAACATTGGTCATTTCACTTTCTCTGCAAGGGATGAGCCCAAGCCTGGTATCAGTTTCACTTAGGCAAGAAGGCCCAAGAATACTAACAATTGATGAGAGGGAAGTTGTTAAGAAATCAGTTTTGGGGGAGAGGGTAAAGTAGTAATTCATGAATAAGTTAGTTATTGAGTTTGTTATTTTGATTCCTTTTGCTAGCAGCTTCTAGAGTTTGCTGGTTAATTTTTGGGTATTAATAGGAGATGGGGGTGAGGGGGAAGGTATGCAGAAATTTGTTAAGGAAAGTTGTTTTGGAGAGCACCTTCCTCTCGAAAGAAGGCCCTGTATTATTGAATACTCTGTTTGATTATACAATCTATCCCTTTGTCTGCCATTTTCTACATCTTCCTAGCTTATTATCTTACTGTTCTAAAGCTAATTCCTAGCATTCTCCCACTACCAAAAGTACAAGTTTGAAACAATGAGGAAGTATATGCTCAACAACACATCTTTTGCTTCGTTTTTTCAGGATAAGTATGCCTAACAGCCTAAGGACACGTCTTTATGTCACTACTAGGAACAATTTGAAAAATGTAAGGTGGCGAGTCCAACATAACGTTAAAGGTCCTCAGATTATAGAGTTAATGTTATCCTCATTAACCAGACCATAAACAACAATAAAGTCATCCAGATCCATGATTCATACCCTAGAATATTGTTATCATACCTTTATACCCTGCCTTATTCTACAGATAGTTCCCAAATAAGATGTATTACACCCGGCTATATCAAGTTCCAACCTGCAATAATTTCGCAATCCCCAACGCGTCAACTGTGATAGACTGATAGGCTTAGTTCAAGAACTTCCCACCACATGTTGAAGACATTTCATATTTAGACTTACATTCAGGCCAACCAAATCAGAAATAATTGTTAAAAGAAAAATATCTTTTTAGAACAAACACAAGAAGCTAAACAAGTCAAAATTTATGGGACATCAGTTGAGAAACAAACTTTGTCAACTATATATACTAGTCTACTTGGACCACCTCCTTTCCACCCCACCCCACCCCATCCCCACTAAATTACTTCACCTTGAGACTTAGAATTCTCCTTTTTCATCCAAATAATAATCAAATTTAACCAAATTTAACCAAATGATTTAGACTTTCTAGCAAAATGCTCCTTTCTTATTTCCCAACATTGCAATATAACTTTTTTTAAAGAACATTGCAATATAACTTCACAAACATAAATCAATCAAATACCAAATATATAAACATGACAATAATTAAACTGTTATAACATAATTAGATAATCACATAAATAAATGAAACATATGAACATGATACTAATTAAATCATTGGTAAAACATAGTTAGACAATCACTTAGCAAAAAGTTTAAGGCTTGAAAAGATTTCAGCAAAACCCCACATCAAAAAATTGAAAATTTGAAGTAATAAGTGCAAAAATTTAACCAAAAATCAAATAAAATCACAACCTTGGTAAAAGACTAACCAGAGAGCTTGAACGTGGTATTACAGGTTGTCTTGACAAATTTTGGGTGTGAATTGATGAAGAAAACGTTGAAAGCGACATCTTGGTTTGTCTGATTTCAAGATTTATTGCATGTTAAGTTTTGGAAATTTAGAAACTCAGATGAATTGATGATCGAATTCAGTATCAAGAAATGGGAAAATTCCGGCGAACAGTGAACTTTGTTGCCCAGTTTATGAAACAATGAAAGCTTAATCCAATACTTGAATAGTGTAGTGTTACAACACTTAACGGAGTACAAATGTAAATTAAACCCAAAATGGCAAAACCGCAATACCCTACTTTGATGAGTCTTCATATCAACACGTATCCTTGGGTTTTGGCCTTTTGGTAAAAGGTTGCGTGTTGAACACTTGAACTTGCACAATAGAGCCGAGTTTTAGTTTCTTTGATACTCGTATAGATTGAATTCACTTGATTTTTTATTTTGAATAACTTATTAAGTGTTGAACACTTGAACTTGCACAATCGAGCCGAGTTTTTGTTTCTTTGATACTCGTATTAATTGCGTTCACTTTTTTTTTTCTTTGAATGAATTATTACAAATATAAATTTTTAGTAATACCCCTTGTAGACACGGAAATTTTATGAGTGTCATACATTAAATTAAATAAATTAATTTGGGTTAAAATCATATGAATGATCCATTTTAATTAATTTTGGCCCACCTAAATATATAATCTGAATTAATCAAATAAAATTCGGGTTATAAAATAAGCCAAATGGACCAGGTTAAAAGACTTTTAAGTCATAAAATGGGCCACGCCCAAACCTACTAAGTCCACTTAAGGGGTTCTCATCTCCTATAAATACACCATTCCTCCATCAGTTAAGGGGATCTAGAAATCATTATTCCAGGAGCTCATAAAACTCAAAAGGAATTCTCTCTGAAGTGAGTCAACAAGCACATCAAATTCGTGCCGACTTGTTCAGATACACTTAAACACATTTGAACGGGATTAAGCTTCATAAGCCCTCGTTCAGATGTATTCAAACAAAACCCTCGAATATAGGTTGACATCATCAAACGTCACCCTGCATTCAAACTCAAGTTGACGTCATCAAACGTCACCCTACAGGTGTCACACACGTGTCATCGTCAACCTGCGGAACAGAATCAGAGGATTTAGTTTATTTTATTATAAACTGTTATACAGAGATTGTACCCAAAATTCACATATTAATATAAAATTTATTTGTTACTTTATTTCCCGTCTTTATTTATTTAGACTCGAAATTTGTGTAAACAAATTTTTGGCACGCTCGGTGGGACTATCTCTGCCTCTCATATCTGTTTTCGCACGTTAAAAAAAAAACAAAAAAAATTGAAATGGCCTCAAAGACCCCTATCGTCAAAAGGATCTCTGCTACAGCTCAACAAAGGGCTGTTGAGTTGGCTGAAATGCTTAACAGCCAAACTGATGAGGGCATCGTTACTAGAGGAATGAAGCAAGCTGTTGTTGACTCCGCCGCAAGAAGCTTGAGTGCCGCGTCAATCCCAACCAAAGCACGAAAAAGTCGTGCTCGTCTTACTGCTTCTGTGAGGTCTCTCACGTCCTCCACTCATGAACCACATGAGAGTCTTGTGTTTGGTTCATTATAGCCTGTCATCCATACAAACTCATCCTTCGATCACTCTTATGAAGGACATGGGAATGAGTTTAGTGTGAGTTCACCTGAACCTACTTTTGTTGCTGTTATGGTGACGCACACTAAGACGGTCGAACAACAACTGGCTGAAATGAGCAGTACCCTTGAACAGCTGAAGAAAGATGGGGAGGAAAAAGATGCTCAAATTAAACAGCAAAATGAACAAATTGCTGCTTTGACAAAGAAACTTGAGAAAAAAACGAGTGAGACTGAAAGCGATGACAGTTCAGATGGTAGCACTAAATCGACGGAATTAAAGCCAAATGGGGCACAAAATTTAATCACTGCTGAACAAGTTCAAGCTATGATAGTCAATGCTGTCAAGAGCCAACTTGGAGGGGGAGGTTCATATATTAGTCGACGTTATGTGAAGCCTTACACTAGGAGGATAGATGAGCTGAAAATGTCATTTGGATACCAACCTCCAAAATTTCAACTCTTTGATGGAAAGGGTAACCCAAAGCAACATGTTGCACACTTCATAGAGACGTGCAGCAATGGTGGTACCAAGGGTGACTTACTTGTTAAACAATTCGTTCGTTCTCTTAAGGGAACTGCTTTTGACTGGTACACCAACTTAGAGGCTGAGTCCATTGACAGTTGGGATCAAATGGAAATGGAGTTTTTGGGGAGATTCTTCAGCACTGAGCGTGTTGTTAGCATGACTGAGCTAACTCAAACTACGCAGTGGAATGAAGAGCCAGTCACTGATTACATCAACCGCTGGCGCACTCTAAGTTTGGAGTGTAAGGATCGACTCACTGAAACTTCCGCCATAGAAATGTGCATCAATAGGATGAGTTGAGAACTACATTACATCCTAAAGGGTATCAAACCAAGATCTTTTCAAGAGTTGGCGACGAGAGCTCATGACATGGAACTCTCGATCACCTACAACAGGAAGAAAAAAGGGCTTGCTTCAGAAGCCAGGAAAGAAAAAAAGGAGTATTATAAAAATGACAAGTCCTCCAAAAGTTCAACTAAGGAGACATTGTCTGTGACTACTTCTGCACCCATCAAAATTTCAGGGAAGAAGAAAGAAGAAAGTAAGGGTTCATCTTCGAGATTTGTCAAGAAAGATAAACCCACTTTGAAAGAGCTTTAAGCTAAGAAGTACCCTTTCCCAGACTCTGACTTGTCTGACATGTTAAACAAATTACTGGAAAATAAAATCATCGATTTTCCTGAGTCAAAGCGTCCTGAGCATATGAACAAGACATTTGATCCCAACTATTCTCCATATCATAGGTTGATCAGTCATCCTATTGAAAAGTGTATAACACTTAAGGAGAAAATTATGCAATTGGCAAAGGATGGGACAATCGATCTAGATGTCGACGAGCCAGTTACATCAAATCATGCCTCGGTAGCTACCGAACCATCATTTCAGGCTCAAACTTTGCAATTTGGAAGTTTGGAGCCTGTGATCATACTTGTTGAGAGTCAACCTGTTCAACACGAAGTCTCATCTCAGGTTGAACACCAAACACATGTTAACTCCCGAGATGAAGATGATGACGAAGGGTGGACATTGGTGACAAGGAGAAGGCCAAGGAAACAAGTGCATAATCCTAAACCGCAACCTTTTCATAGCAAAAGAAAGCAACAAAAGAAGAGGAAATCCAAGCATTTGAAGGGTAAAAAGAAAGCAAAAAAGGCCAGCAAGCAAAAGGTCCTCCCTATTGATTTGCTCGAGCAAGAGTCGTTGTCTCCTGTAACTTTGGAGGAATATTTCCCGGAAAACTACTTTACTATGGTTACGGCGAATATGGTTTCCATTGTGGAAAGAGAGGAGGAACAAGTTGATGATGATACACCAACAAAATCAGTTGTACAACAATCCGAGATGATAGTAAATCCAAAAATATCTACTGTCTTGGATGCTCTTCCTTCACGCATGGGATGGAGGCAAATTTTTCATTTGCCTAAAGAAATGTGTCAACAGTTATCTCTTGCACTTCAACACCCAGAGTTGTATGCCGATAAGGTGAAAAATGCTGGAGAACCTGCGGAAGATGCCACGAAATGTGTGTCGTGCAACGCAGCCTTGGCATTCACAGATGATGATTTGTTGATGGGGTTGAAACCCCACAATAGACCCTTGTTTGTGTCAGGGTACATCCGTGAACAAAAAGTGAGTCGCATATTAGTTGATGGTGGATCTGCTGTCAACATCATGCAAAAATCCACTATGATAGAGCTAGGAATCAAGATGGATGAACTCTCTAGCAGTCGCATAGTGATCCAAGGATTTAACCTTGACAGTCAACGTGCAATAGGCATAATACGCCTAGAACTCACAATGGGAGAGTTAACGTCATCAACTCTCTTTCATGTGATTGACACAAAGACGTCATACAAAATGTTACTATGACGCCCTTGGTTGCATGAGAATGGTGTGGTAGCATCGACCCTCCATCAATGTCTCAAGTACTATCGTGGTGGCGAAAAGAAGATAAATGGGGATGTCAAACCCTTTAGCAAAGCAGATTCTTACTTTGCTGACGCCAAGTTTTTTGAAGAAGAAGAGGCGTCAAGTGAGATACTACCTTCCCAAGTCCTTTCAACAGGAAAAAGAGAAGTTAAGGAGAGCATTGCTTTGGTTTCAAATGACAAAAAGACATCTTCTGCTGAGGAGAAGTCTCAACAAAAGGTAGAAATGGACAAAAAGAGTGTCTCTCAGCTCGTCATAAAAGAAAAGCCAAAGTTGTCAACTCCTATTTTGCGATACATCCCAAAATCACGTCGCAAGGAGGGAGAATCACCTTTTGTGTGTCGGGAGGTTAACCTTGATGCTAAGGTAGCAAAGCCAATTGATGACACTACTCTCCAAAACTTGAAGAGTAAAACAACTATACCATTGGGTAAAGGCGCGCAAAGCCCAATTTCTAAGTTATCAACAGAGTCATCTAAGGCAAAAGAGCTTAACAAAGCAAAGTTCGGCCAAAATGCATACAAGCTATTGGCAAAGGAAGGATATGACTTTGAAAACCCAACACCCATGGGTAAGGTCATAGAAATTAAACCTAACGGACTCAATGATACTCAGAAGAAACTGCTTGACTATGGCTCTAGTTATCAAGAATCCAAGGCAGGCCTAGGATTTCAGCGCCCCAAACCAATCAAAATTGGTGTATGGCGTAAAGTAGACGCTTCTTCCTCACAGTACATTACTGCCAAGGAACTCAAGGAAGGTGAAGGTGAGAACGATGTTCCCACACCCAGAACTTCTGTATTTGATCGACTTCAACCATCTACTAGGAGGAATCATGTCTCAGTGTTCGATAGGCTTGGAGAATGTGACCATAGGGTGAAAGAAACTTCAAGTTCGCAACCCTTAAGACAAAAAGTATTTGTCTTTAACCGCGTAGGCATGACAAATGCCTCTAGCAAAGAACAAATACAGTCAGCTTTTAGTCGCATAAAGAAAAGGGAAGACAATGTCATGAAAAATGATGAGTCGAAAAGTGTTGTTCCCTCTCGCATGAAAAGAAAGCAAGACATAGATATCACTGAGAAACAACCCTTAAAGGCAAGAGTTCGCACCGTGGTTTTCACGAACCAAAATGAGTCGTCAGACCATGCTATAGAGGAACATAAGGAGATTGTTTCCACGAACCATGTGACGGCTGAAGAGGTGTCAAATCCCGACGAGGAAATAGAAACTGATGAAGCTCCCAAGACACTTGAAGACGGGGGGCAAGAAACAGTAGATGAGTTAAATGAGTTAAACCTTTGCACTCTTGAAGACCCACGCTCTATATACATTAGTGCTCTTCTTACCCAAGCGGAAGAACAAGAGTACTTTAAATTACTCTCTGAGTACAAAGATGTCTATGCATGG